CCTCCTCCCCCCCTCCTCCCCGTACTACTACTATTTATACTACTACTACAATTTATACTAATAGAACATAAAGTCATATATTTGTAAAGCACTAACTGAAATATTCATATATAAAAATAAAATTCTGCTAAATAATATGGGAAAGTAAAAATCAAGTGCAAATTGAATCTTCAATGGAAAACAAACTGATTTATTTCAAAATTTAAAAGTGGCATACAATTTGTTATATCAGAAAATCTATTGTGGGTATCAAATTATTTTTATATAGTTTGGTTTCTAACTTTGAAAGGTAAAGTGGCTTTGATATTATTTGTCTATGAAAAAATAGTAAAACACATAGCTACTATCAATTGAGTACCTATTAATTACTTGCCAAGAATTATATACATTGTTTCAATAATTAATATTTAATTATTTCCTTTTAATAGATGAGGAAACTGTGGCTCAGTGAAGTTACAGTGACTTATCACTCTCCTATATGGTAGAGACATTATTCACAGCCAGGTTTGAAATACTCTATAATTCCATACTTTCACCCCATTCCAATGCAACTGTATTATCATGATCTGAACAAGCAGAAAAGTCCAAAGAATGGCTCAAGTGCCAGAAATTAACTTAGTTTTCTCAAAGTGTTAGCAGGATATTCTGGAAAAAAGAAGAGGAAAAGGTTCTAACATATTAATTTTTCAACATTTTGACTATGAGTTCCCATAGCTCATCATCTCTGAACTACATATTACACTTTAAATTACACAGCTGGCTTAGCAGTTGGAGTCACTTTATTCCTGGTGTCAGATCAGATAAACCACTGGTCTGCTCAGGCATCATTATCTTCCTCCTCCCAATTACGTTTTTCAGACAACATGCTTACTACTGCATTCTTTTGCTCAAAAAGTGAGGTTTGAGTAGAGGAGGAGGGAATGTGAATGAGATACTGCATGAAATAATATCTGCCTGAAATTTTTTTAGCTCAGTGTCTACATTTTTGCATACTTTGCTGGTGGAAACCAACACACATTCACCATGTCCTGCCTATCAGTTTTCACAGAATTAGACTATGTAAGGCGTAATAGGTCTTCACCTGACCTGGGCTAGGGCTTCTCTGAACATTAATAAACATTTAGTAGCATCAATAGAGACCTGAAAATTATTCACGAGGCAGAAGATTATAATATCATTGTAAACACACCTTGTTATTCAAATACTTGCTTTAATCTTTTTTGTTTTTGTTTTTGAAATAAAGTATATGGATATGAAGATTAAACCCTGTACATGCTCATGAGAGACAGAGTGATTAATTTGACTTTAGAAAACACATATTAGGTTTCTGTCCCTTTTGATTTGACTTTCATGAGTATCTGTATCTGAGAAAGAAATAATAAGCTTACCTGCTGCTGGCTAGTGTAAATATATTCTTTGTCTATTTACATAAGGATCAGGATACAGAAGTAAGTGATCTCTCAAGAAATGTGGGGAGTTATTGGCAAGTGCCAGTGGATAGAGATGTCGATGCTTAACAAAAATTCTCTACTCTAATGATTTTGCATAATATCTCAGGGCGATCCTAAGCAACACATTTATGAAATACTGAAGGTGGCTTATGTGCTAAAATTAGTCATGTGAGAAAGAATTACATTTTATTCATATTTGATGCTCTGAAAAGCATTTTCCCCAATCATGTCTGAAAGAGAGCAAGGTAACCAGCATTACATCACCAGAATAACCTTTCATTGGCTAGTCTTTCCCTGAGGGCAGACAAAGGTTTGCACTTAGTTGAAGATGATGCTTTTAAATATTAATCCTATTATGTGTAGGGAAAAGGTGTTCTACCTGCTCCATTAAATAAAAATATAGAAGCATTATAGGACACTAATTTCCTTCAGCGACTTAATTTACTGTGGGTGTAGGTGTGAGGGCATATGTGTGTCTGTTTAAGGGAATTCCAGAAGTTCAGTATATATGGGAATCAGGTACGAGATCTTGATTGATATCAGCCCTTTCATATGAGATTAATGAACACATATGGTAAAACCAGGCTTAGATTCAATTTCATAAAATCAACATGATTTTAGACCTACTGAAACTATTTGACAATTGAGACAAATAAACAATCACCAAATCCTGTTGTCCACATTAAACTTGCTCTGGAGAATGAGACTCAGATGAAATGACATGGAAATGTTTAAAGTAAGTTCCTGAAAATAAGAATGTTTTATTATTCTTATAATAAATATAAATAATTATCATAATAATTTATTTGGATGATATCTCTGCAAACTTTAGACTCTGTAAAGTAATTCCATAGATTTCCTTGAAAGTGCTATAGCTTTGTTAGCAAGATTAAGAACGTTAGGGTATGTGTTCAGTTGTAGAGAAATAAAAGAGATTTAAAAAGATTTGCCTTTGTACATACTATTCTCTTTGTCTAACATGCCCTTCTTTCACTTCTCCAGTTGATGAATATTTATTCTTCCTTCTCAGATCCAGGGTAAATGTCACTTTCTTTGTGGAGCCTGTTAACTCCCCAGGCTAAGTTAACTGTTCATTCATATATCAGTGAGACTTAAGTGATTTTCAATTTGCATTCATAGAGCATATTGGAATCTCTTGTGAGATTAAGTCATACTGCATATGCCTCCTCCTACCCCAATATTGCACATTGTCACTATGCACCACTAAGAATTAATGTTTGAA